CAGTTTGGGGATAAACGGGAAATTAAAAAAAAATTTAAAAATGATAACCTTTTCAGATCTTTTGTGTTACTGACCTATATTAGATATAAAATATATACAATCCGTTAAATATACTTTCTAAACCTCGAAATTTAGGCTTAAAGAACGTTCCTTTTTCTTACTTTTATTGAAGCTATCATACCTATTTAATGGAATATTCCAAAGAAAAGGCGCGAAGATTTACTCGTGGCGTTTGGCGCGAAATTATGAATAGTACCACGCCTTTCGTATTTTTTTTAGACAGGTGTATTGTTGAAGAAGTATATATAAGTACATTTAGAGCAGTGACTCAATAGCGTAATTTAAGCGCGTTGGGAATAAAAAAAAAGGTAAAAAAGTGCGTTGGATTTTCACGCTGACAAACTGGGTTCAATCTTCTTTTGTGACCAAATTTTTTTTTATCACTTTTTCAGCTCGATTTTAGGGTTTTTTTCCCTAAATCGGACGGAAGACCTCTCGTTGCTCGCAACGAGATCGTTTCTAGTTTAACTACGGATTGTTATAGTTCGAAATATCTGACGTTTTCCAAGCTTTTTTACGATTTTGATGTTGTACGTGCCAGTGATTCTTTACCAGTGTTTACTGGCACGTAACATATCAAATTCGTGAAAAAGCTTGGAAAACGTCACATGTGCTTGTTGGCAGGAACCCGACCCCCCGAATATACACCCCGGGCCCAAAGATATTTTTATTCATCTTTTTTCATAATTTATCTTCTAGTACGTTACGAGGGTCATTCATTAAGTAATGCAACTTATGGTTTTCCGTAAAAAATACATGGTATTTTTAGATTTTCTTTTCACGGTCTATAAGTTACATTCATTCTCTTTTACAATCCGAAAACTACACGAAATTTGCTTCGGTATTCACAAAGTTCTTACAATTGAAAAACGGCATGGTCAATACACTGAGTAATTTTTAGCTGAAAAATGGCCGCTCAGGTGAAAATAGAAGTGCGAGCATATATGAAAAACTGCATATTGCTCGGAAAAGCGTTCAAAGACACCTATAAAGATATGGTTAATGTCTATGGAAAGAGTGTAATTTCATACAGTACAGTCTGCAGATGGATGAAGAAATTCAAACAAGGAGAAACAAGTCTGGAAAATCGAACACGTACAGGACGACCAAAAAGCGTTATGATCCAAAGAAATATTGATGCTGTGAGTACAATGTTAACAGAAGATGCAAGATACACAGTGGAAAATATTGCAAGGGCCCTCCAGGTTTCAACGGGAACAGCTCACAAAATTATAACAAAAAAACTTAATCTTAGGAAAGTTTCAGCCAGGTGGGTGCCTCATTTACTGACTGAGGAACAAAAGAAGACAAGGGTAAAAATGGCGAAAAAGCTCCTAAAATCTTTTAAGAATTGTGACAAGAGAAAACTTTCCAGTATAATAACAGGTGATGAGACCTGGGTCCACTATTTTGAGCCTCAAAGAAAAGTAGATAATAGAATGTGGCTTAGAAAATGCAGCAGAAGACCCGTTATTGCAAGAAGATGCCAGAGTTCAAAGAAGGTTTTGTACAGCATTTTCTTTGATTCTAGAGGTGCGATCGTTCAAGTTCCTGTACCCAAAGGAAGAACCGTTAATGGTTTGTTTTACAAAAACAGAATTTTGAAGAAAGTGAAACATATCTTCCGTAAACGACGCCCAAAGACAGCCCTTCGTGGAATTTACCTGCTGCATGACAATGCTGCCGCACACAAACATAAAGAGGTAAAAGCTTTTCTGAGGAATGAAAGAGTTACAGAGTTGCAACACCCGCCATATTCGCTAGATCTGAGTCCATGCGACTTTTTTCTCTTTACTAAAGAAAATGTTGTCCGGAAGACGCTATGGCTCCAGATCGGCCATTGGCAGTGCCATCTATCAGTGCCTTTTAGGTATACATAAAGACGAGTATGCAGAGGCTTTCCGGTCTTGGATAAAAAGACTTGAAAAGTGTATTAAAGTAAATGGGGAATATTTCGAAGGATTGATGTAATAAATAATTTGAATTTAAGGTTGCGTCATATTTTTTTGTACCCAGTTGCATTACTTAATGAATGACCCTCGAATTTCTATTTTAAGCGCTTTAGAGTTCACAAAAGATAATGAGCTATATGAAATTTTATCATTATTATTATAACTTTCAATGGCTGAAAGAAGACCCCTTATTAATTTTGAGGACAAAAGATCAAGGTCATACTCTTAAATTCTGTCTGTCTGAACACTTTGTTTCTGCGAGGTATCTCGAGAAGCTTTCGAGAGTTTACAATGAAATTTCACAACATAAATCCGTATGGTCTAAGGAAGACCCCTACTCATTTAAGGTCAAAGTTGTAAATTCATATTTTCGGTATAAAACTCTCATTTCCGGGTGATATATCAAGAAGCTTAACTTTGAGGTTTTGCGATGAAATTTTATTAAATAACTCTCGATGACTCTGCCCAACGCTCTTAAAAAGCTCGTAAAATTCTTATCAATAATTATTGCTTATTTTATGCAAAACGACCCAGAATTAAGCAGTCAATGAGTATTTCATTGAATTTGACCGTTCGCCATTTTGAATCGCCATTTTAAGCTAATTAACACAACCTTTAAAATTACAAGACTAAATTTTCCAAATTTAAGTGATATTATTAGTGTTCTATCATCACTTTCATAGTTTGCATTACGCTCAGTAAGATTATAACACCCTTTCTCCTATTTGAACGACATTAAGAAATAATTAGAAAAAATGGATATCCACCATTTTGAATCACCATTTTGACTTATAACTCTCAGTTGCACCATCATTCAGTTGTAGAAAAGTGAGATGCGTGGGAAAAATACCAATCTGCGGTGTATGGATATTTGCAAATGTAACATTCTGAACAAAGCAGAATATAGAAAAATAGACAATTAAATCAGTGAAAATTCGAATTAAGTGCAGAAACGACTACATTTTCTTAATTAACGTAATAATGTTAGCATTCTTTTATCATTTTTATAGTTGCATTACACTCAGTGAGATATTCACACATTTTTTCTCCTTTTTGAATGACATTCAGAGAAAATTACAAAAATTGGATGTCCGCCATTTTGAATCGCCATTTTGACCTTCTTAACTCCATTTTCATGAAGGCCAGCACATTTTTTCGGATTCAGCATACCCGAAATAGGTTTTAAAAAATGCTATGCTGGACCAAATAATAATTATTTGCCGCTAGAAGTATTTTTTGTCGGTATTCATCAGCAACTGTTTATTCTATTGACCTGAAACTCTAAATTTTCTTATTTTTTATTTGGTAATCTTTATTGTAATTTTGCTAAAAATGTTCTGATTTCACATAAAAGTGACCTTGGCTTATATCAAAAGGACGTTGGTGTTCCTCATTGGCCAAATTTTGTAGTCTTCGGAGATGAAGTCTAACAGCAAACTGTTCTGATAGGAACTAATTTTGCCATGCGAATAGGTGACCGACCTGTTTTTTATGTTCTTTTGAAGCAGAATTTATTCAGTTACTCTTATATTGGAAAAAAATTTCTGGGACCTTCATTTCATCATTTTCTGTACAGATATCACATTTAATTTTCACAATAGTGAATTTGATGCATTCATCGTTCTACAGTATTATTTTAAATTAAAGGAGAAAAGATAACAACGGCGACCATGTTTGCTTGTTTGTTGTTTAACGTCCCTCTCCAGAATTTTCACTCATATGGAGAGGCCGCCAGTTGCCTGTGGAGAGTTGTAAATTGTGTCCTTCTATCTGCACTTTTCGCCATTGAGCAGTGATGAATCTTTTTCGTCATCTATTGTGACACAGGACCATGTTTAAAACTATCTCATCCAAAGGACCGTTCTCTACGTCCAATAGTGGGATTCGAACCTGCGACGTAAGGATCAGCTCCTTACTCCGTGACTCTAAGTCGGACGCTCTCTAGAAATCATTAAAGATATCGTTTATAAAACCTATTGTTGTGACCGATCAACAGGGGATGCTTACTGTTTCTAGGCTTCTGATTCCTCCTCTGGAATACCCGGGGTTTCTATGTTTATGCCCTTTTCACATATTTGTATAGTTTGTTATTTTTCATAGATCGGTCACTGTTCCATGTATTCACATTTTTATTCTATATTTCTTTTACCCACCTTGTCATACTGGTATTGTATCCATAAAAACATTCAAACTGTTGTTAGATTTTAAAAATTTATTTAAGCATATAAATCCAGCAAAAGCGTATATAAAATTTATTTTTTTTAAAAGAGACAGTATGAATATTAAAAATTCTGCCAAAGCTGCCATATTATTAAAATTTGAATGGTCCTAAACCAGCAAAGTATACATTTAATTCATGTAAAACAATAACCAAAAACCAACTCTTCTCTGTATAATTCAATAAAATGCACAAGATTAAAATAAAAATTATAAAGAGAAAAATTAAAAATTCTTTTCCACTATAAAATTACAAAATTGAGCACACATATAGAAATAAAACCCGAAAATATTGAAATCAAAATTCTGTTTAATCTTCTTTTCCCAAATATTTTGATTGAATAGTATATTTTTATTTTTGCATTTCCAAAGGACTTTGTATTTTACAATTTTTGGACATTTCTAAATCACCCTAAAATAATTATGATTGCTAAAAGGATAAAAAGTTACATCAACTAAACCCCAATTTCATTTTTTGTACAAAATTGATAAGCATGTGGTACAATAAACTGGGGGGAAATATGAAATGAGCGGTCTGAAAATTCGGTGAGGGCGTCTAAAAAATGGATGGAAATGCTAGTTTGAACGTTAGACTCTAAGAAATGGAAATGACATCTGCATATCTCCAATCTTGCCAGTTAATGTTCCGTGGTCTTATGGTTCACTTTTCACTTGGATGCCTAACTACATTTTAACGATGACTAATTATTACGTTGGTCACACCATGTTTAATTTTTTTTCTTTTTATCTATATATGAACTTTTATCAAGAGTTCATTGTACACACTCAAGCGATAATAAATTTTTGTAAAGCCAGATTATACAGGGAGACAACCAAGAGATACAGTATTTCACATCTGCGTCTAGTTTCTTCGGGATCCAGGGATACCAGTTCCTGTAAAAAATAAATTTAAGAGCTTTAAAAAGTAGTCTCTGGACCCGTAGGGGTAATTTATATTCATAAAGCGATTATTATTATTTAAAATAAAATATTCACTTTGAACCCTTCCGGTTGACCGTAAGATTTTTTAGTTAAAGTGATGGTTCCAGAACATTGATTTTTGTATATTTTGGACAATAACCTTGTTCGGGTATTGGGTATATGGTTTATTGTAAAACAAGGTTTGTCTTATTATCTCTAAGTATGACGTAGAAAGGTTTCATACTGAAATGCCAAAGCTTTCCGAGCCTTATCTATATAAAGAAAACTTTTGACTACGGTGTTTCAGAGGTATTGGTATTGCAGTAAATAATCATTCTTGCTCCAATAAAAATTTGAAGTAAAAAATCTAAATCAATGTTACACAAAATATTTTTTATAGAATTACAAAATTATAATTTTGGTTATATACTAATCTATATTAACATATTTGTTGTAATGCAGCATCACTTCACCCTTTTTCAAGCATTTATCACAACTTCAAAGTAGTGAATATAAAATTTCATTGTAATTCAATTTCTGTTTTAGTTAAAGGTCTTTATAAATTTTCAATACTGATGATAAGGGAAGAACAACGGCTGTTTATCAAGGGTATTGCCAAGCGATTGTGAGAGTAATGTCGAAACTGGACATATGTCTGTTAACAAACTTGTTGATAATTACATTCAAAGGAGTCAAAACCAAATAAATGCTGTAAGAAACATACATGTGGATGGAATTCTGAAACACCTCAACATTACCTGCAGAATATTACAAATGCATAATGTCATGTAACGGTGATTATATGAAAGTAAACATACCATGTGCAAAAAATCCTGGACCTTGAAAACTCACGTTCGGAGGACCTGCAAAATTTGTTAAAATTATCAAAACCAACCTTATAGATAAGAAATGTTATTTTATTAACAGAGTAAATGTCATTAATATGTACCTGCTGGAGTACTTGTGAAAAGATTTGGAAAATGGCCTGAAAAAGAAATCTTGTTAGAATTAATATGTCTCGATCATTCATCACCCCCCCAAAGTAAATCATAATTATAACCTTCCCCTTCACCTAAAACAGTGATTTTCATCTATAGTAGTCAATATTCACCAATATGTAGCACTATATTATACCAACATATAAGCGACGACTCTACTTTTACTTTTAAATGCAGAGCACTAAGTAACCATAAGTTTGCAGAATTACATTCACTCAGTTAAAAAGTACTTTTAAAAATAAGGTATGTTAATTGTTCATTAATGACTGTTCCGAAAAAAATCTTGAAACACTGGCGACTCAGCATAAAACAATTTATTTTTACTGACATTTATTTGGGATTGATCTATTTTAACTGACCTTAATTTAAGATTGATCTATTTTTTCTGACCTTGATATGGGATTGATCTAGTTTTACTGACCTTGATTTGGGATTGATCTATTTTTACTGACCTTAATTTGGGATTTATCTGTTTTTACTGACATTAATTTGGGATTGATCTATTTTTACTGACCTTACTTTGGGATTTATCTATTTTTACTGACCTTACTTTGGGATTTATCTATTTTTTCTTACATTAATTTGGGATTGATCTATTTCTACTGACCTGATTTGGTATTTATATATTTCTACTGACATTTATTTGGAATTGATCTATTTTACTTACCCTAATTTTGTCTTCATCTATTTTTACTGATATTTATTTGGGATTGATCTATCTTTTTACTGACCTTGATTTGGGAATGATCTATTTTCACTTGTACCATCAGCAGCTTCGGCTTGTTCCCTCAGTTCTCTGCTTTCATTTCTTGACTGTTCTAGCTCCTCGGTCAAACCTTGGCATCTGTCTTTTAATTCAAAGCTCTCTTGGTGATATCTGTCACGTTCTTCTTTTAATTTTTCATTTTCGTCTATATAAAATTATTAAATATTATTTCTATATAAAGTAAAGGACTAACATTTTACTGAAATAGTCTGTATCAAAACAATGGAAGCTGCGATTGCACGGCATATTCTCATTCGATGAAATTTTATTTTTCATATTTGTTGTATACATTAAAATTGTTTCCGCATTATGCATATTACATGTATACTTACAAGTAAGCTTATCCATATTCCGTTGAAGACCATGTACATAATCTTTAAAAATAAATAGTAAATTATTGTACATATTTTTAAACTACTTAAATGATATGGGTGTGGAATTTGGCATGTGTTTGATAATTATTAATAAATTATATCAAAAAGAGGAAATTTAGGTCAAATTTTCATTCTACATTAATAACTTTTTAGACCTTTTTTCTCTTCCAGTGATTTTCTGTGGCTCTCCGCCAGAGAACGGTAATTTCGTAAATCTGCCGTCATGTTTTCCATACGGTGGCCATTAGAAGACAATAATTCATTGAAATGTCTGTTTTTATCTGGAAGACAAAATATATATAATAAGGGTGCTTAATTTAACAAATTACTGTAGAAAGAATTCCTTTAAGATAAAATAATAGGCTATATTTGTTATACAAGGGGTGATCAAAAAGTTTGAAAACTAAGTGAATAACTTTCATAAAAGAAACAGTATTTGGTTTCAGTGTTGATTATATTTTAAATAAGTCCTCTCCGATTTAATGCACATCTGCCATCGTTCTGCACAGGCTCGAATCACGCGATATACGTGGTCACGTGACCTGCTCCTTAGAGTTCTGTCACAAAAGCTGAAAGATTTTTCTTAGTCTTATATTCCTTCTATGCAAGATTTTTTTATAACAACAAGAGGCCCACGGGCCTTATAGGTCACCTGAGTATCATGTAACAACTTTCCAGCGATTGTATTTGGTTCGTGGTTTAATCCAAAAGCCATGAAATTCACAAATTTGAAGGAGGCACCATTGCTTATCAAAGGGCAGATTTCAAAGCATTAATTTATTTTTAGTCAAAGTACCCCCCTGGTACCCCTGACCCAGC